CAACCATACAACTATTCGTCCTCTCCGGAATGCGTGAGGTATCACGCCACAATTGAAGGCGTTTTCAAAACTGTTATTCGATATCGGGATCATAGTGTCGCATAAAGCTTGGAGCACGAGATCTATAGAATGACTGATCCTACGAGTTAAAGCAAAAGTTCTGTTCACGTATTGTTTTAATTTGTTATTGTATTCATTGTGTATTATACGCATGATCGTGTGATTTGCACGAAACACCTTGCACGTGTTTTCGCTCTATTTAACCTATTTAGTATTTATACACATCTTTTTGCATATTATCAAGAAAGGTGTTTACGGTCATGTTGCTAAGGCACCACATTAAAATAAACGTATATTACAACTTGGATTTCCTTGCGCTAAATTAAATTCCTATTATTTCTTAACACTTCTTACCGTTAGTTTCTTTTCAATCCTCCAATAAATATTATTCGTCAATCCCTAGGTACTTATAGTTAGTGTGTTCATTACCGCTCTCTTGTGTAACTCGGCAGTGCAGCCCCCCCCCCTCTCCCACCACGCCTCATCACTCCACACCAACGACCCCTCCATGCAAGAGTGGACGACGGCGAGCCGCGCGCTTATCCACAGCGAATCATTGCGGGAAGTATAACTCTCAGGCGTTTCATAAATGATAATGAGCTCCTAAGTTGCAGCGAAAAAACGGCGATGAGGTGATAACGCCGCCTTTAATGGCGCACGGTGATCGTGGATATATCTCGGATGTAACCGGCGTTGCCACATTGCACTTCAAAATACGAGAAATGTGAGAGTTTTCACTGCTATCTGGCGGTCCCGTCATTTCAGTGTTGTCATATCATGCGATTTTCGTTGAGAATTTTATGATGTTTTGCTTTATTTTGGCACGTACGTCTAGATTTCTCGCCTCGAATGGGGAAGGGTGTAGGAGAGTGCAAGAGAGGGAGGGGAGGGGGCTATCCATTTCGCTCTTCTCATAGTGTAGGTAGTCAATGATTTCAGAACACTCGAGGAATTGTGAATCTCCGCAAAAGTGCAGGTGGGTGAGTTTATCTCTTTTCCCTCGCTTTCGCAGAGTACACATTGTAAATGGAACTGATACCTGAAGCAACCAGCACGGTAGCCAGACTTCACATTTAATAACACAGGTAGTAGTAGAACAAAAGTATTTTTACGAGGTGCCTTCCCATCGGAGACCACTTAAACCTCTGTAAAAATTAACAAGGGGCATGAAATAATGAATAAAGAAGGGGAACCAGTAGGGACAAGGTAGATAATAATTTCTGTGTGCGTACTTCTCAGAGCTGATTTCAAAATTGATCTTAATTTTCTTCATTCTCGGAACTCGAGAATTTTCCAACAAACGAGTCTTTTTCTGAAGAATATTCATTGGTGATAAAAAAAAGGTCACTTCTGACCTCAGCAGCAAAACATTTGCCCTGGAGAAAAATTCCTAGCAAAGAAAACGCTGAGACTTTAAGTAGGCGATGGTTGACCTAAAAATGTATCTTTCATGGCCGTGTTTACGTAAATGCCGGTTTTCTTTGTGATCGATTGATCATTCCATCTTTGGTGAAAACAATTCTGTGAATGTAAGTCTAATATTCCTCCAAAATGCGCATTGTATCAGTGGCGTGGCGTGAATGATCGACCATAGATTTGATTCCGTGGTAAAGAATCGATTATTAAGGTGTTCGCTACGAAAACCCTGCGGAAATCGATCTTTTCCCATAGGTTTAAATGACAGATCAATCGATTTATTGCGAAGCATGCCACGCCACTGCATTGTATATTTTTGTTTCGTGCAACTCACACGATCCACATGACTGAACTCCTTTTAAAAGAATGACCCTCATCGAAGGGTATGGTAGTTTAGATCGGATATTCAGGTAATCACATGGAGCTCAAAGCTGATGTCACATGATCAAATCGAGCCATCAAATCTTCAAACTCAGGTGTTGTGATTGGCTTATTCGATAACTTGGACCAATCACAGCACTTGACCTCAATACATTGATGGCCCTGTTTGATCGCATGATATTAGCAGTACAGTGCTGCGTTAAAACCAAACTATGTTACTGATCCCCGAAATTTTCCGTAGCGTGAATTCGAGTGAAATTTCATCACGTCGTGGCAACCACCCCTACAATATAATATACATTGCCGGCCCGCGTTACAAGCACGGTGGCTGTTCAACCCCTCCAAATCCAACGATATCAGCTCGACCGACGTATCGAACCGCGATACTTCCACCGCAAAATATGGGGATTCGATACATCTATCGCGGTGGATTTCCTTTGTTGCTGATCCTTCGGGATTTAAGAAAAGCGAGATCGATCCTATCGATCCCAATTCAATGATGAGAATAGTCAATCGTTCTCAGGTTAAAATTATTGCATCTTCTATGCTTATGTACGATAAACTTATTGTAAGCCTTAAGCAAAAAAACGACATTATTAAGTTTCACACGTATCAGAAAGCCTCAGAAAAGACAGTTAGGGCGGTTGTGAGGGGTCTCCCTAAAGACTATCTTCCTCTGAATTTAAAATTTGATTTTGAACAAAAAATCCCAGGATTAGTTGTTAAAAATGTTTCTCAGATGCAACACCAGATTACAAAGACTCCACTTCCTTTATTTTTTGTGGACTTTTTGAGTAATGTGCATGTTGCCAAAATATGGCAAATAAAATCCATCAAGGATTTTATTGTTTCACTTGAGCGCCCTAAGGGACGGAGGGAGGTCATCCAGTGTAAGAACTGCCTCGCCTTCGGGCACTCTCGATCACGATGCTATCGTGATCCTCGGTGCCTGCTGTGCGGGGATTTTCATGCCCTGGCTGACTGCCCACGTCCCCAGGAATGCCAAGAAATACAACTCCCTGTGTTTCCCTCATGCGTTCACTGTGGTGAGATGCATGTGGGAAACTACAGGGGTTGTAAAGTTTACAAACAGATACGCAAAAAGCGTATGGGTAAAAAGCCCAAAGACGAAAAATTCGTCAATCACCAATTCGTACCCCTTAGAAATTTAACTGTGCAAGGCAAGTCGTATGCTAGTGCTTTAGCTGGAGCTAAACCGCAATCAAAAGACGCTTCACAGCCAATTATCAATGTTCAAGTTCCTAATAGTAATCTAAGTAATGTTTCCTTTTCAGATAAGCGTATAAAGACTCTAGAGGAGTTAGTTTTAAAGCAATCAGAGCAGATTGAACGTATGATGAAGGTTATCGAGGCCTTTCTCCCCGCCCTCGTGCGGGGAGCATCTCTCTCGATGCCGTAGTCTGCGTTCATCTCGTTTCTTCATGCCTTGATAGGCATCTTTTCATTTTCTGTTTCGTAATTGTCTTGTCGACGTTTTGAGGTCATAAATTCCTCACTCTTATCAGTATTATTATGTAAGGTGTTTTTTCTCCTTTGATTAGGTTTTTTGCACCTTACATTTTAGCTTAGCGCATTTATCCTTTGTTTGTAAATATAGTATACTATAACTTTTCTCAATCTAACTACTTTAGCTCTTAAGTTAAGTTTACCATATTAGGTTATTAGATCATATTAATAATCTAAATTTATGTTAATTTACTAGTTTAAGGCAGTGACTATATAACCGAGAGTTCAAAGTCCTGTAATTTATTGTATTTTGATGCAAATAAATTGAATTTAAACAACAAAAAAAATCGCGGTGGATTGCGGCGGCAAGACGTATTTGCTCAGTACATCAACAGGGGATTTAAATATGGATGCGATCCTGTTTTAAGGTCAGGGATTCCTCCTGCTTGCACCTTTTTTTTCGCGTTCGGCTCTCTCTGTTCGAGTGTTTGTCTTTCTCCTCACCGACGAAATGGAAATGGATCCTCTCGTAAGGAAACAACCTACGTCCTATTTAAGTAGCATTGCACGTGCGTCGTTTTCGCCGAATGCACACGGGAGCGAGATCCTTTCAGGGTTGCAGCTGTTCGGGAGCCTTTTTAAGCCTCTTTGCGATCGTGCAGGAGCCAGCACGTGCACACGTCCGTAAACCAACCCCCTCCCCTCGCTACCTTTTGTGGGGAGGGGGTTGCATTTTGAATTTCGTCTGGCGGAGATCGTTTGTAGGTCAGTTTCGGTAGATCCAGAGAGCCTCCCCCCCCTCCCCGCGGGGTCTACGTTTCTGGGCTGAAAGTATTAAAATGCGGCCCTTTGATTGGCAGAGCGGAAACGGATTCCGGGGGAGATGTTTGTGCCGCGAGATGGAGGCGGAATTTCTTTCTCGATTCGTTCTGGCGAGAAGAATGCATTTCGAATGGATTTGTCGAGGACAACAGTCAAATCAGGCGTTTTTCGTTAAATGTCGAGCCGATTATTTGATCGTTTTCTCCTAGATTTAATGTTTAAATGGTTTGCTATTTTCGACAAGATAATAATGCCCTAAATAAGCAGGCATACATTTTCCGCGCAATTCCATGTTATTTTAAGGTTGGTTGAATGAATGCCAGTGTTTGATGTTAGTGAATATCACGATACAATTCATGCAAAACTTCGACAATTTGACTAAGTATATTAAAAGCATATATAGTTCCTTTCGCACCACTATCATCTTCGGAGCTGATCTAATGCAAAAACTCATACGAACCTTTTCAAAAGAGGATAACATTTCCGTTTAGAAAACTGACTAGTCCATGAATGACATCGACTCATAGTTGAGGGAATAAAAGCTAAATATCAAAAATATTCCAGTATGTGATTGTCCACTATGATTCAAATAAACCGCTCATGCACAGTTTTAGCCTAATGAGGGGCCTCTTTGATTGGTTAACACGGCAACCTTGTAATTCATCGATACATCGATTGCGGTGAATAGAATACCCACCAGCTTGACGTCACAAAACTGAGAACTTGCGGAAATTCCATTTTCGCAGGCAATGTTATGGCAACAGCGCTATGGCTATAGCGCAACTGACCCATTTCTAAAGCTACTTCTCCTTTTGGGCAACTAGAATTCTTATGTTCGCTTTGCTGTGTTTCAGGTGGCATATCCAGCAGGGGAACATCGAAGTCCGGTGGTCGGGCGGTTCATTGCCGGGCGTGTACGCGGGCGACCTGTACCTCGGGAGCTGGGAGCTCTACAAGCAAGGCCAAGTGACGTCGGTCTCCGAGACGCGCCAAGACGCCTTCGTCTATTGCATCGTAAGTACCTCTCAATTCTTCCTTTTTCCAGCTCGAGTGTCGCTCTGGAGTCCCACTATCTAACGCGCTATCGTTTCCCGCGTGAAAAGAGCCGGCACCCTCTTCAACGGAGCCCCCTAGTTCTTTGATCATTTTAAAAACCCTTCACGCTGAGAATTCTCGAGGGTTAAACGTCACAAACCGCCAAGAATGTTGCACTGTTCGCCGGGATCAATGTAATCTTGGATCAGCATATTCTTGCTGTCGACTGTTTTACGGTAGGAAGCAGTAAAAATACGTAACATTGTCGTATCTGCAAAAGTTGCCAATTATTACATGGATTACATTTTGCAATGAGAAACCACTATCTCTAGCTCTCCCATAAAAGTACATATCTGCAGAGGGAAAACAATGACATTTATGTTGTTCTAAAATGCACTGGAAAAAAAAACAAATTGGATCTAGAGTCCAGACTCTTGAAAACATTGACAAGAAAAAACACTCTTGATTCACTTAGATTTTTGCGTAAGTCAAAAGGAAATTCGTTCAAATTAAGAGGCTTGATTTAAGCAAAAATCCGATTGAATCAAGAGTATTTTTTCTTGTCGATGTTTTTAAGAGTCTGGACTCCAGATCCAATGTGTTTTTTTCCCAGTGTGGGCCAGAAATAGTGGTTCCTTATTGCAAAATGCAATTCACTTTATGTGTTGCTAGTGACCAGTGGCGATCGTTGAAAATTGGCAACACTGCTTTTCCTCCATTTAAATGCGTGCAATTTTTGGTGAAGCAGCTTGCCTTGTCTTAAATCGAAATTTTGTAATTGATTTAAATGGACGAACAACCCTATTGTCAACTTGCAAAATCGCTTTCTGAGTACAACCGTCCTTTTTAGAAGGAAATATGGCAACCTCTGAAGGCTCATACGGCGTTTTCCCTTGTGAATAATTATGTGACGTATGACACTGCCTACACGCTGATCTTGACTGTTTTCCTTCAACATTCTGATAACAATCTCAATATGAAAACTTTACGGTTTTGAAAACGCCTTCAAATAGGCCGTGATACCTCACGCATTCCGGAGAGTGCGAATAGTTGTATCTTTGCGCCTTACCAATGCAAAATCGCCCATACAAATGGAAAAGGTGTATCTTGAATGTTTTCATAGATGTTCGTAACCTTCAAACAACTCAATCCGGTATCCTGCCCTCCTGTGGAAGGGGACAGTGCGTCCAATATAGTCGATTGTGCGAAAGTCGTGAACATTAATGACAATAATGGTTTCAAAGACAAGATGCATGTCTTAAAAAAACCGTACATTAGATAACAACGAAGGCTCCTGTTCACATTTATTGCGCATTGAGTTCTCACGCTGAAATTAGGAACTAAAAATGGGAGTTATCGGTCGTGTTTTTTTTTTTTTTTTTTTTTTTTTTTTTTTTTAACTAAAACTAATCGATAGTGTTGCTCCCTGAAATTTGCGCAGGTGTTGCAATTTTTAGCAATCAACGAGGATCAAGAACAAATTAAATATCTATTTTTCTGAACTATTGAAATTAATTCGGTGAAAATTTGAATTTGAAAACAAAAGTATATTTTGAAATTTCAACGATTGAGCAACGACTGATAACTCCCAATTTTAGCGTCTGAACTTTGTATCAGTGTGAAAAGTATATTTAACCTCCGAATAAAAATTATTAATGTGAATTAATCGTAGTTCATTTTTATTTTTATCGAGGTTCAATTAGCTATATTGACGGTTTATTTACAATGACCTAAAAGCTGGAAAAATAAATATTCCTTTATCGTCATTTTCTACAGTAATCTATGCACTAATTCCTTCTACCTCATGTTTGGAAATGATCAGTGAAAATTCTGCTCAATATCGATCAACAAGCTTTTTTTCATCCTACTTACCAATGCAATATCGAATCATGATATATTTTAATGTCAGCGATTTTACCCCTCAGATTCAAATCAGAGAAGTAACTTCCCTCCGCTGTAAGAAAAAATTGATATTTGGATTTTTCCCAACTGTACAAAACATGAACCTCTGTTAGGTAAAACTTTTTAGAAAAAGCTTTTCACAAGACTATTTTCTCCGCATCTGTAAATTCGTGATATCGTAACTTGGACTCGAACTATATTCTCGCAAGTTTTCCGGAAAAAATTCTGTAAAACTTGTCAGTAGTCAAAGATTACCTTGTAATCCCCGTGAATTAGTTTCCCTTCCCTCCTGAAACTCCATTAGCAAGAAATTAAAAAAAACATTCGTAAGGAGAAATCAACTTCCGGGTGAACGGACTTGCGACGCTGCTGCTGTAAGGACAGATTTAAAAAAATGTCGTAAATACGCCAAAATCGGTCCCGAATGTAGCGAGACTACAATAATATCTTAATCTGCAGTTGGGTCGAAAGAGTCCCTACCAGATGTTTCCCACTACTTTCCCGCAGTGTTCGGACCACAAAAAGCTCCTCGAATTGGTCAGCCGAAAAATAAATCCGTTCCGATCCTGAGAAGCAGTAACTGAAAACTCACTGCGAAAGCCAGATTGGTCGCAATTAAATTACAACGTTGCAAAGTTTCAAGCACCCTCCGCAACTTCATCGTTAGAATTTCGGGTTTCGTCCGCTCGACGGCATCGTAAAAGGCGCAGGGTCTCAAAATCTCAGATTCTTATCCACGTTGCGTGTTATTTCGGGTGGAGATTTGGCAACTGCGCACTGGGAAGTAACTCACAAGGGGAGCTTCCCAAGTGTAACCGGAATTCCGAGTTGAAATTTCGCATGAAGATACTAGAGATGATTTTAGGGATGCCGTATTTTTTTGTTTTTTCGAATGGGGTCGGGAAAGCCCTCAAAAAAAGGGCTAAAGATGCGGAAAAAACGCGTGCGCTAGCGGCACTAGGTAAACATAGGTGATAGAGGCGCTCCTTCCTTATCAGTTCCGCGTGGCCAAACGGTAGCGTGCTCGCCTCGCAGGCGGGAGGTCATAGGTTCGGATCCTGACTACGGTCCGTAATTTTGTTTTACTTTATGCTTGTTTATTTTTCACTTACTTTATTTTGCACCATTCTCTCCGTAAACCGACTTACAAGGTAAAACACGTAGTGACTGAAGATTTTTACATACCTATGCTGATAAAAACTTGAAGTTTCTCTTGGATTGAAACGTTATATATAATTGAACAAACAAAACACTCTAAAACTCACCAAATTTCGTCGCCAAGCTGAATTTTCGAAGTATCAGTCGAATCTGTATCTATATTTTACTGATACTCCGGGAATTCAGCTTGGCAACGAAATTTGGTGAGTTTTAGAGTGTTTTGTTTATTCAATTATATATAACGTTTCAATCCGAGGAAACTTCGAGTTTTTATCAGCATTTGTAAAAAATCTTCAGTCACTACGTGTTCTACTTCATAAGTCGGTTTGCGGAGAGAATGGTGCAAAATAAAGTAAGTGAAAAAAAAACAAGCATAAAGTAAAATAAAATTACGGACTGTAGTCAGGATCCGAACCTACGACCTCCCGCTTGCGAGGCGAGCACGCTACCGTTTGGCCATGTGGAACTGATAAGGATGGAGTGCCTCTATCACCTATGTTTACCTTGTGCCGCTAGCGCACGCGTTTTTTCCGCATCTTTAGCCCTTTTTTTGAGGGCTTTCCCGACCCCATTCGAAAAAACGAAAAAATACGGCATCCCTAAAATCATCTCTAGTATCTTCATGCGAAATTTCAACTCGAAATTCCGGTTACACTTGGAAAGCTCCCCTTGTCAGTCTCAGCGCTAGTAAATCGGAGCGACTTTACGAGGCAGTGCTTCCAATTTCCAGCGAATTTTATGAGGATTTAAAGTGGGGTATCGCATTTTTTCGTGTTAATTGGCAACCTTGGACTTTGGGCAGTGGTATTTATGGCCGGGGATTTTATGTCACGTAGAGGCATCGAGTAATTGTGGGAGATTGCTTTACGGGCGTTCAGCTTTGTGGCGGGGGTGGGGGATGGGGAGGACTTACGTCTTTTCACTTTTCCGTGAACTTTTTACGACTTTCAATAACTTTATGTAGAACCTAAAACGCCTCTTTAGACCCTTTTTCGCGTGAAGACGCACGCACACAGGCGCAAAGAGACGGGGCTCTAGCCGCGCTGATACAAAACGACGTAAGATCATTTCCATGTCACTGCATTTCTTCGATAGAAATATTCAATATTGAGGCCAATGGGCCTCTAGACGAGGTATGAATTAAAGTACATACGTGTTTTCTCTTCAAATGTCCACAGGGAAAACGAATTGCTCAACGAAGAGTCAGAAGATCAACCCCTGAACAAGATATAAGTGTTTTCTATTAACATTGGTTAAATGGCAAAAATATGAATGACGTCATTCCATAATTGAGCTTCCATTTCATATATGTATATGTGTTTTAACAATTGGTTAATATCTTGTTTAGAAGTTAATTTCAAAACTTTCTGTTGTGTGAATTTTTCTATGTAAGCTTTTGCAGAGTAAACATGTGACGTTTTCTTCCACCTCAGACCTCGTCTAGTGGCCCATTATGTTCGGATGTGGACAATCATATCTCAAGACATTAATTTTTTTAAGTTTTCTAAAAGTTGCTGGGAATTTTATTAATTTTTTAAAATAAATGTGAAATATTGTGTGTTTCCGAATCACAAGTTGAATCACGTGCGCAGTATTATCTTAAACCTCACGAAGTGCGGAAGATGTGCGTTTACGTGCTTTTGGAGATCCTTAGGGGTGGAAACAAAGCCATTCAGCCGAATGCATCATGTGATTCGATATCTCTCACTTGTGAGTTTAAAACTCACAAAGCGCGGAAGATGTGAGTTAACGTGCTTTTGGAGATTTTTAGGGGTTAAAACACTGCTATTCGGTCGAACGCATCATGCGAATCGAGATCTTTCACTTGTGAATTTAAAACTCACAAAGCGCGGTAGATGTGCGTTTACGTGCTTTTGGAGATTCCTCGGAGTGCAATCAGGACTGTTACGTCGAACGAA